GTGCTCACTCTTCCCAGACCACCCGCTCCTGCAGGTGAGTGTGACGCAGACCCCTTGGAGTCCCAAACCTCAGCTCATTCTCCTGGGGCTGCTGGAGGGAGGGCTGCCTGCTGGGTGGTGCCTAGAGCCAGAGTTTGAGTCAGCCTCTGCCAACCACCAACCTCACTGGGCAACCCAGGACAAGAGGCTGAACCCTCCTGAGCCTCCGTTGTTCACCTGTCTTAAAACGGGAGCCTTGAATCAGCTACCGCGGCTGATTGGGATGGGGGCTGATTGGGATGATTTATGGACCATGCCTGACATGGAGAAAGCGGTCGAGAGCAGAAGAGACTTTGTGCTTCTGTCTCCATCCGGGGTTCCCTCCCACAGGAGAAGGAGAAGATTGTGGCCCCCATCAGTGACTCCCCAAAGCCACCACCTCAGCGTGTCACCCTCACACTTCCCGTGCTGAACGCAGCCCGAACTGTCATCTTCGTGGCAACTGGAGAAGGCAAGGCAGCTGTTCTGAAGGTAATGGCCGAGGGCCCTGTTTCTAAGAAGGTCATGGACACGTGGGCCCTGTTTCTAAGACGGCCATGGGCACATAGGCCCTGTCCCAGGGCCTCAGGGAAGAATATGACCCTGGGTATCATTGTGCTGGAAGCATCGGATCTCGAGATAATTCAGTAATTCTTGGGTCAAAGGGAAGATCAAAGGTGCAATTAGAGGCTATTTAGGAATTAACGATTATGAGATGAAAATTGATGAGATGAGGCCAGAGGTGCCCTCAGAGACAAATGCAGTGTCGATAAACAAAGTTCCATTGACACACAGCCAAGACTATTTGTTCACATATTGCCTACAGCTGCTTTCGGCTACAACGGCAGTGTTGAGTGGTTGTAACGGAGACCAGCTAGTCCGCAGAGCCGAAAATACTATCTGGTCCTTTGAAGAAAAGGTTGGCCGACCCCTGAGTTAAACTGAGAGGTCCCAGGGTGGCGCAGCTACTTTGTGCTCGACCACTAGCCATAAGCTTGGTAGTTCGAGTCCTCCGAGGCACCACAGAAGAAGAACCTGGCAATCTTCTGTAAAGGCTGCAGCCAAGAAAACCCTATGAAACAGTTCTAGTCTGTAACACATGGGGCCGCCAGGAGTCAGAATCGACTCAACAGCAACAGATTTGGGTTTTGGTTTAGAGTTAAAGTGTTGTGTCCCTGCTAGGGCAGCTGGGGAGTCCCGGGGTGGTACAAATGGTTAAGCACTCAACTGCTAGCCAAAAGCTTGGTTTAAACTTGCCCAGAGACGCCTCAGAAGACAGGTCTGGCAATCTGCTTCCAGAAGGTCACAGCTTTGAAAACCCTATGGAACAGTTTTAATCCACACACACAGGGTTGCCATGAGCCAGAATCAACGTGATGGCACCTAACAACAGCAAGGGCAGCTGGAAAGGGTGGTGTCCAGTCTCCAGGGTTTGAGAATCATGTCCATTGGGGTCCTGGGAGCTCTGGGGGCACCGGGTGGGGGGCTGCCACTGGCTCCCACTTCTGACCCCGCTCCTCTCACCACAGCGCATCCTGGAAGACCACGAGGAGAACCCGCTCCCTGCTGCTCTGGTCCAGCCACACACGGGGAAGCTGTGCTGGTTCCTGGATGAGGCGGCCGCCCGCCTGCTGACTGTGCCCTTCGAGAAGCACTCCACGTTGTAGCCCACTGGGCAGACACCACGGTTTGGGACCACGTGTACCCGAGTGGCTAGGGCCTTCTGGGGCTGGGCCCCACTCCCCGCCACACTCCTGACTGTTTGAGCAAAGCCTCGTGGCACTTCCAGAAGCCACGAGGGCCCCGCTGTGGCTCAGCCCACGGGCCGTGGCTTTGAGCAAACTGGATATTAAAAGAAACATTGATTGGAGTCTCATCTGTCTTGTGGTCCTTGGTGGGCGGTAGGCCTGGGGGTGCCCGGGTTGAAGCGCTGACCCTTGACCAGCATGTCTTGTCCCAGCCTGGGCAGGTCTCAGCCTGCCCTCCCTCCCTGGGGGTGGGCACCTCCTGTGAGTGTCCTGGGGCTGCCGGAACAGAGTACACAAACTAGGGGGCTTACAACGGCAGAGATTTATTTTCTCACAAATTGGAAACCAGGTGTCAGCAGGGCCACACTCCCTCTGGAGGCTTCAGGGAAGGATCCTTCCTTGTCTCTTCCAGGCTCTGGTGGCTCCAGGCGGTCCTGGGCCTGTGGCCACATCACTCCAGTGTCTACCTCCGTCCTCATATGGCCGTCTCCTCTCTGTATCTTTTCCTCTTCTGTCTCATTTATAAGAACACTGGCCATTGGACTTAGGGCTCACCCTAAACGCAAGATGATCTCACCTTGAGAACCTTAACTTAATCACACCTGCACAAACCCTATGTCCAAACAAGGTCATGTTCACACGTCCCAGGGATTAGGACATGGATGTATCTTTTTAGGGGACACAACTCCACCCCCTGCATGCCCCCTTGGCCGAGCTTCCACTGCACGCACGGGGTCGGTAGAGACCGCTGCGTCCTGCTGAGCTGTGGGCCTTTTCAGAGCCTTGAATATACCAGAGGTACCTCTCTAGCAGCTGATGGATGCCAGGGCCTCAAAGTCAGGCCCATAGTAGGCTCAGTGGCCCCTGCAGTGCTGAGTGTGGGGTCTGGGGGATGCCCTGCACCCAGCAAGTAACTGCCCTGAGCCGTAGGGGGGAATTGAAACCGCAGAGGGGTGTGGCTCCCCAGATGGGGAGTGAAGCTGAAACCACTGAAAGCCAAGTTTCTGCCAACAGTCTCACTGGGCCCAGAAGTGAAAGTGAGGAAGTAGGACCGAAAACAGGTTGAGAAACAGTGGGCAGGGGTGAGGGGGTAGGAAGGAAAGCAGCATGGGGGTGGGTAACAGGTGGCCATGACCCCCCACCATGGGCAGAGGCAGAGCAGAGGGCTGAGAAGAGGGAAATTGAGATGGGACACTGGGACCCCAGGGAGAGGTCTCCACACAGGGGGATCCCACTGACAGTGCTCCTGTTTCCTGTACCCTTCTCCCCATAGCCCTGAGGGTAAAACCCACCCCCCTCCACATCCAGCCCAGGAGGCCTTGTGTGGCCCCTGTGAGCTTCCACTCACTTCCCTTTCCATCTGCCCCTCAGTCGCCCTGGTCCAGCCCACCCGCCTCCTCGCTGTTCCTGGAACCAGTCACCTTCATTCCCACCTCAGGGCCTTTGCACCTGCCGTGCCCACTGCCTGGAGTTCTCTCTCCTCCAGCTCTTGGCTTGGCGTGGCCCCTCACTTCCTTCAGGTCTTGGTGCAACATCACCATTGGCCCCCACTGAGGTTTCCTCCAGCCCTGAGCCTGCCCCAGGAATTGGCTATACCTTGGCAAGGGTCTTAGGAGCCCCGTCCTACTCTCAGCCAGAGTTGGGGGCTCAGCTGACAGGCCCCGGCTCTAGGGTGACCCTGATACTAAAAGGAGTGTTGTTGTCTCATCTGTCTCATGGTCTTTGGTGGGCAGCGGGCCTGTGCTGCTTATGGCTCCACAAAGCCTGAGAGACCCCCATTGGCTCACGTTGCAGCCTGGAGAGCAGACTCCGTCCCATTCATTCATTCATTCATTCAGCAAAGACTAGGGACTGGAAAAGCAGGTGACGGGGTGGGAGACAGGACTTACCAGCCCCAGTCCGGAGATAGCCACTGTGATGGGGGATGCACTGGCACAGTCGGAGCACAAAGGGCATACCCTACTGGCCAGGGGTGCAGGGATGCTCCCCAAGGGGCTGGCATCCCAGCTAAGGCCTGAGAGGTGAAGACGGGAGACCAGGTACTCAAGGGAGTTGGGGTGTGGTCCAGGTGCCTGCTGCCCAGTCAGGGCGAAGGCCTGGAGGGGACACAGGGCAGACGATGGGGTCTGCAGGGAGCTGCAGGCGGCTGAGGGGCGCAGAAGGAGGGGGTGTGGAGTGAGGAGGCTGGTGTTTCCCCGAGGCTGAGGGGGAGCTGCAGGGGTGCTTGAAGTCAGGGCTGTGGTCAGACCTTGGGTTTGGAGGGTGGGGGGTACAATGGAGATGGGGGGCTGGGGTTGTGGAGAAGGGACCCCCAAGAGACACAAAGTGAAATGAAGAGGAGGTGACTGGTTGGTTGTTCAGGGGGCAGGAAGGAATTCAGGCAAAGCCTCAGTGTCCCCTAGTCCCCGCTCCCTCTCAGGGCCCTCCAGCCCTGCCCTTCAACCAGGACCCCAGTTCCCACTCCCTCTATGCCAGCACTGACCCCGGGGGCTGGGACTCCTGGGGGCTGGTCCAGAGCTGGGTCCTCATCCCTGGCATTGTCCAGCAAGAGGTGAGCACAGTGGGGAAGGGCACCAGGAATTAGATTCCGCCCCCCCCAGCCAGAAAAGGAGCTCTGTTGGTACAACAGTTAAGCGCTCAGCTGCTAACTGAAAGTTGGAAACCACCCAGCAGTGCTGCAGAAGAAAGGTCTGGCAATCTGCTCCCATTAAGATTACAGTCAAGAAAACCCTATGTAGCAGTTCTACTCTGTCACACATGTGGTGGCCATGAGCAGGAATTGACTCCACTGCAGTGGATTTTGTGTGTGTGTGTGTGTGTGTCCCTCCCAACCCCCCTTTCTTGTTCCTACACACCAATGACTGCCGGCTTGTCCTGCCAGATGTCTGCCCTGCATCCCTCAGGCATCCCTCCTATGAGGCCAGATGGACAGCACTTCATCTCCCCAACCTCACCCTGGGCCCCAGCAGAAGGCAGAAACCACCAGCTTGGGGCAGCCTTGGCCCTCAGGGAGCAAGGAGGTGCAGCTGCAGGGGGAGGAGGGAGGAGAGGAGAGAGGAAAGAGGGGCAGCCCCACACCTGGGCCTGCTCTGCCTCTAGACCACGCTGGTCTCCGCAGCGTCCGGGCCTCCCCAGCGCCCTGCTCCTGGCTACCCCTGAGCCGAGGGACCTGGGGCCAAGGGAGTCGCAGGGGTATTGGCCTTTACTCACAGGCGAGCCCAGAGACCTTGGGCCAGGATGGGGGGGCGGCCCTCGAGCCCCCTGGATAAGCGGCAGCAGCAGCACCTGAAGGGTGAGCCGGGCAGGTGATGGGGTGGGAGCTGGGCATGCAGGGTCAGGGCACAGGTTGTCAGACACAGTACAGGTTGATGTAAGTTGTTGCGTCCACTCTGACTCATGGCAACCCCGCTGTGCAGAGTAGAACTGCTCCCTAGGGTTTTCAAGGCTGTGACCTTTCAGAAGCAGATCACTAGGCTTTTCTTCCAAGGCATCTCTGGGTAGGTTTGAACCACCAACCTTCTGGCTAGTAGTCAAGTGCTTAATCATTTGCACCAACCTGGCCCTGTCAATGTGAACTCCAGATAAGCAATGAATAATGTTTTAGTGTAAGCATATCCCATATATTGTATGGGGCATACTTATGCTAAAATATTTATTATTTATCTGAAATTCAAATTTAACTGGTTCCTGTCTTTTGGTTTTTAACCTAATGACCCTATTCAGGGGGTTGGGATGGGGTTGGGGCATAAACCGGGGTGGGGGTGTCCAGGCCCAGTCAGGCCCAGCAATGTGGTCCTCTAGAGAGGCAGGGACAAGCAGGTCCCTCCACATGGTCCCCAGGGACCGAGGCTCAGTTCCCAGTCTGAGATGTGGCTGGGAAGGAGTCAGTGCCTAATGATTCCCTCCGCCCCCCTCCCAGCCCCTGCATGTGGATTGAGCACCTGCTAGGGGCCCCCCACCCTCAGGGGGTCATAATCCAGGAGACGGTGGTCAAGCTGGGGCTGGAGGGGTGCAATGGAGTCAGCACGTAGGACATGTGGGAACAGCATTCCCTTCAGGGGGAACAGCATGTGCAAAGAACAGTCAGACTGCTGAAGTTTGCACCCTGGCCCTGCCCCTACTCTGTGACTGTGGGCAAGTGACTGCCCCTCTCTGGGCCTCATTCTCCCATAATGAGATAGCAACAATACCTACCTCACATGGCCATTGTAAGAATTCAATGAGTTACTTTACCCTGTGTCAGGACTTTTTTTGCCTTTAGTAGCTTAAACAACATAATGATTTGTTTCTCTCTCAGAGATGTGCTGAGGCAGGCAGGCTGGTAAAGTTAGAGCCTGAGCTCCTTCCAACACGAGGCTCTGCCTTGGATGGTTTCAAGGTCACTTTGTGGTGCATGACGGCTGCTGTGGCTCCAGCCATTGGGCCCACATTCCAGGCAGCAGAATAGAAGTAATATACAGTTAAGTGCATATATCTGAAGGGGACAACTTAAAGAACTTTAACACCTGGATAATCACCTTCTACATCAGGATACAGTACACTTCATCACTCTAGAAAGTTCCCTTGTGCTGGGATGGGGTGTTCAAAAGCTTCTGAAATCTAGAAACAGATAGTGGTGATGACTGCACATGATGAATGTAATTAATGTCGCTGAATTGTACATGTAAAACTAGTTGAAATGGCAAATGTTTTGTTATATATATATTTTACCACAAGTGAAAAAAGAAAGCTTGAAAATCTCCCCAGGTAAGTGGCATAAGGAAACTTTCAGGGGCAATGGATCTGCTCATGATCTCAGTTGTGGCAATGGTTTCACGGGTGCATAATTGCATCAAAGTTCATAAAATTGTGCACTTTAAACACAATTGAATGATGTCTATTGTGCATTAAGGAGTCCCTGGGTGGTCCAAGGAGCCCTGGTAGTGCAGTGGATAAGCGTTCAGCTGTTAACCAAAAGGTGGGCAGTTCAAATCCACCTGCTGCTCCCTGGAAACCCTGTGGGGCAGTTCTATAGGGTCGCTAAGAGTCAGAATCAATTGGACAGCAACAGGTTTAGTTTTTTGTTTTGGGGTGGTGCAAATGGTTAAGCGCTTGGCTACTAGTTTGAATCCACCCAGAGTCACTTTGAAAGAAAGGCCTGGCGATCTACTCCTGAAAAATCAGCCATTGAAAACCCTGTGACACACATGGGGTCGCCATGAGTCAGAAGCCTCTTGATGGTCACTGGTTCGATTGGTTGTTGTGCATAAATTACAAGTTAGGCAAGAGACGCCTTAACACCCCACCTCCCCCACCACCCTGTTGCCACCCACGTGCAGGGAAAACTGCAGCGGAGGCTTCTAGGTGAATAGCATTCGGGGCACGTCTTGTTGGTCATTTTTGGGTGCAGGTAGGAGCCCACGGTGGCTTTCCTGTTATCCTGCCCTCTCCCAGGCAGGCCTGCGGGCCCATCCGGCGGCCTCACCATCCTCCTGTTCCCCTGTCCCCTCAGGTCAGGTGGACGCTCTGCTGAAGAACTTCCTGCCGTGCTATCGCAGGCAGCTGGCGGCCTCGGTCCTGTGGCAGATCTCCCGCGAGCTGGGCCCCCAGGAACCCGCCGGTTGCCATCTGTTGCGCAGTAAGGTGAGCGGGAGTAAAGGGGTGGGGGGCGTGGCTGGCTCGTGGGCGTGGCTGGGGTGAAACCGCTAGTGCCAGGCTCCCCTCTGGCCACGCTCCAACGTCCAGACCTTTGCCCTGGCTGGTGGGGCAACTTAAAACATTCATTCATTCATTTTTCTTCTTCTTCTTCTTTTGGCTTATTCAACGTTTTTCACGGATGCGACTTAGTGACACCAATGACACGAATCATACGCAAACCGTCACTAACAATCGTTGCCAAATTTCCCATCACCGTAAACAAACTTATTGCTTCCCAGACAATGACTCCACTTTTCCCTTCCCTGCCGCACTGGTCACCACGAATAAGTTTTGATCTCTGTACATTGCCTGTTTCATATACGTTGGCGGATACAATATTTGCCCTTTTGAGTCTGGCTTCTTTCACTGAGCCTAATGTTTCAGATTTCATCCAGGTTGTAGCAGGTATCAATGCTGTGGGGGCTCTCGGGCAGGCGGCGCAGGGTGGAAGCCTTGTGGGCCTGTGCCTGGCGCTGCTCAGTGGACAAGCTGCACCCAGGGAGGGACGGGCCGTCTGTCCCCTCCGGGCTCCCCCGGGAGCCGCCTTCGCCACCTGCTGACGTTCCCGGTTGGAGGTGCAGTGGGGTCCGTGATGGGAGCTCGGGCTCCAGGTTCTCAGCCCGGTGACCGCCCCATCCTCTTAGGCGGCCTCTGAGGCCACTTCCATTGCGGGGCAGGTCTCTTAAGTGTTTGTTTTCCCGAACATGCTGTGTATTTATTGACCCAGACTCATAGGACCGCTGCTATGTGAGCCCCACTTCCCGGGGCGGGGCCGCGGTGCAGGTGACACCCGGTAACATCTGCAAGCTCTCAAACCAGGGCCCGCTGTAAGGTGCTTAAGAAACGAAGAATCACACGACGCAGCGACCCCAGCCCCACATTTGGTGGCGCCAGGGCAGGCGGGCGCTGTCCGCGCTGTAGGGATCCGGGGGCACCGTCCGCGCCCCGACGCTCGCCGGTCCTTCCTGGCAGAAGCTGCCCCGCGTTCGCGAGCACCGAGGCCCTCTGACCCACCTGCGGGGCAGCCCGCCCCGATGGCAGCCGAGCTTCTGCGTCCTGCGTGGGGACGGCCGGCTGGAGTGGTTTAGCCGCAGGGAGGTGAGTGCGCCGCCCGGGTCCTCCAACTCTGCTCCTCTCCATCCTACCCCGCCCCAGCACGGTTGTGGGGTCCCAGCTCCCAGCATAGCGAGCCCTCACCGCCCTCCAGATCTCTTTTCTCCATCATTTAGTGTGAATTCAGTCCCCTCCCGACTTGAGTGCTTGGCCCAGGATGCCCGACCATCTTGTTGCATGCCCTGTGGCCCGGGTGGGTAAACTGAGGCTCAGGCGGGGAGGGCAGGGACTCACTCGTAGTCACTAGTGAAACCACGTGGAGGCCTTTGCTCATTACTGCAGTGCTGCTTCCCAGCCAGGGAGCTCAGGTGGGTCACTTGCCTCCCTTGGACTCAGTTTCCCCCTCTGTGGAATGAGACACTGATGGCCCATGCCATGGGGCTTTGGGGATTCGATGAGATAATCTCATACACACCTGGGATCAGCTGGGCACACAGGAGGTGCTGGAGGCATAAGAGTTGGGAAGAGGTAGGAGGGAGAACTTCCCCAGTTTCCCAAAACCTTCCCTGGGGTCTAAAGTTGGGTCATGGAAGCCGCAGGTTAGATTCATCCTAAACCTGTTCTTTGGATGCCTTTTGTAGGAATATGAGAATGGGCGCAAGCCTCTTGGCTCTGCAGCTCTGACGGGGTACACAGTCCTGACCTCACGTCCCGAGTACCTCTGCCTGTTGGATGCTCTCTGCCCAGACCCCTCGGGTTAGTCTCCTGGGACCACATGAGGGGAGGCGCCCACCCCAGCACTGCTGATGTTTGGAGGCTCCTTCTCCGTGGTGGGGCCCTCCTGTGCACTGCAGGGTGTTGAGCAGCATCCCTGGCCTCCACCCACTTCCTCAAGTTGTGATAACCAAAAATGTCCCCAGACATCGCCAAGTGTCCCCTGGCGGCAGAACTGCCCCTGGGTGAGGAGACTGCTCTAGAAACACCCACGGCCACTCTTGCCAGGGTGAGAAGGAGAGGTAGGTCACCTGACCAGAATCAAAAGTTGTTGTTGTTAGATGCTGTCGAGTTGATTTTGACTCATAGCGACCTATGTACAACAGAAACGAAATACTGCCCGGTCCTGCACCATCCTCACAATCATTGCTATGTCTGAGCCCATTGTTGCAACCACTGTGTCAGTCCGTCTCATTGAGGGTCTTCCTCTTTTTCACTGACCCTCTACTTTACTAAGCATGATGTCCTTCTCCAGGGACCAATGCCTCCTGATAACAAGTCCAAAGTGCGTGAGACGAAGTCTCATCATCCTCACTTCTAAGGAGAATTCTGGCTGTACTTCTTCCAAGACAAATTTGTTCATTCTTTTGGCAGTTCACGGTATATCCAATATTCTTTACCAACACCATAATTCAAAGGCATCAATTCTTCTTCTTTGGTCTTCTTTATTCATTGTCCAGCTTTCGCATGCATACGAGGTGATTGAAAATACAATGGCTTGGATCAGGCACACCTTAGTCCTCAAAGTGACGTCTTTGCTTTTTAACACTTGAAAGAGGTCTTTTGCAGCAGACTGGCCCAGTGCAATGCATAGTTTGATTTCTTCACTGCTGCTCCCATGGGCATCAATTGTGGATCCAAGTAAAATGAAATCCTTGACAACTTCAATAGTTTCTCCATTTATCATGATGTTGCTTATCGGTCCAGTTGTGAGGATTTTTGTTTTCTTTATGTTGACGTGTAATCTATACCGAAGGCTGTAGTCTTTGGCCTTCATCAGTAAGTGCTTCAATTCCTCTTCACTTTCAGCAACTAGGTTGTGTCATCTGCGTATCACAGGTTGTTAATGAGTCTTCCTTCAATCCTGATGCCCCATTCTTCTTCGTATAGTCCAACTTCTCAGATTATTTGCTCAGCATACAGACTGAATAAGTATGGTGAAAGGATACAACCCTGATGCACACCTTTCCTGATTTTAAACCACGAACTATCCCGGGGTTCTGCTTGAGCTACTGACTCTCGGTCTACGTACAGGTTCTGCCTGAGCACAATTAAGTGTCTGGAATTCCCATTCTTCACAACGTTATCCATAATTTGTTATGATCTACACAATTGAATACCTTTCCATAGTCAATAAAACACAAGTGAACATCTTTCTGGTATTTGCTGCTTTCAGCCAAGATCCATCTGACATTAGCAATGATATCCCTTGTTCCACGTCCTCTTCTGAATCCAGCTTGAGTTTCTTCAGTTCCCTGTCATTGTACTGCTGCAACCGCTTTTGAATGATCTTCAACCAAATTTTACTTGCATGTGATATTAACGATATTGTTTGATAATTTCTACATTCTGTTGGATCACCTTTCTTTGGAATGGGCACAGATATGGATATCTTCCAGTCAATTGGCCGGGCAGCTGTCTTCCAAATTTCTTGGCATAGATAAGTGAGCACCTCCAGCACTGCATCCAAAGTTCACATGGGTGCCAATGAAGGGGAGAATCAGGGAGAGAAGCTCAGCCTTTAATAAGGTCTGGGGGTGAGCACACCTTATTTTGTGGACTTAGAAATACTGGCTACTTTAAAGTAGTCAGTGGGAAACTGGGGGTGTAGGGGTGCGAATTTAGCAGGGAGGTCAGGGAGTCCTCATCTGAATTCCCAGATGTGACGTGTGGGTGGGAAAAGGGAGCACCAGCTAGGGTAAGAACTGCCTCGGGACTGTTCTCTAGGATTTTGCATGAGAGTATGAGCTGATTAGAAGGCAAGCAGGTCTGCTATTTTGAAATAAGTAATATTTAAGCAGAGGCTGGAAGAAAAGGGATGCTGAAACATCATAACATGGAGTTTGAGTTTCTTATGACATGGGGTGGTGAGCAGCACTTACTTCTCCCAGCATCGATGTGTAACAACATGCATGAGATATTGCCCACCAGGGATGTTCCCTGAGCCCTGGTGACCAGAGTTTTTACTGGGAGTCGGTCATGTAGGCATAGCTGGTCATATTTCAGGTGTCTTCCAACCCAAGGGGCTTGTCTTCCAGCACTATATCAGACAATATTCTGTTGTGATCCATAGGGTTTTCATTGGCTCATTTTGGGAATACATCACCAGATCTTTCTTCCTAGTCTGTCTTAGTCTGGAAGGTCCGCTGAAACTTGTCTACCATAGGTGACACTGCTGGTGCTTGAAATACCAGTGGCATAGCTTCCAGCATCACAGCAACAAACAAGCCAGTGCAGTATGACAAACTGACAGACGGTGGACCAAGGATTTGTTGTTGTTAGGTGCCGTTGAATGTGTTCTGACTCATAGCGACCCTACGTACAACAGAACGAAACACTGCCTGGTCCTGCGCCATCCTCACCATTGTTGCTATGCTTGACCCCTTGGTTGCAGCCATTGTGTCAATCCATCTCGTCAAGGATCTTCTTCTTTTTTGCTGACCCTCTACTTTACCAAGCATGATGTCCTTCTCCAGGGACTGATCCCCCCTGATGACATGTGCAAAGTATGTGAGACATAGTCTCGCCACCCTTGCTTCTAAGGAGCATTCTGGCTGTACTTCTTCTAAGACAGATTTGTTCGTTCTTTTGGCAGTCCGTGGTATATTCAATATTCTTCGCCAACACCACAATTCAAAGGCACCAATTCATCTTCGGTCTTCCTTATTCATCATCCTGCTTTCGATATAGGGGACCCCAAATAAATTAACCAAAAATAAATTCACTTGTGTTGTCCTCCCAACTGCTTTAGGTGGTCCATATCACTGTTAACCCCATGTCATGGATTGAATTGTGTCTCCCAAAAGTATGTGTCAACTTGGCTATGCTATGATTCCCGGTATTGTGTGATGATCCTCCATTTTGTGATCTGATGTAATTATCCTCCATTTTGTGATGTGTTTTAAATTCTAGCCTCCCGATGTTAATGAGGCAGGATCAGTTTGGGGTGTATTTTGAGTCACAATCTTGCAAGAGGGTGTGACTCAAGTCACACCCTTGCTTGAGTCACACCTTTTATCTTGCAAGAGATAAAAGGAGAGAGAAGTGAACAGAGAGGGGAGGGACCTCACTACCACCAAGAAAGAAGAGCTGGGAGCAGGGCACGTTCTTTGGGCCCAGGGTCCCTGTGCTAAGAACCTCCTAGACCCAGGGGAAGATTGATGCCAACACACATGGAGATCTCCAAGGAATGCCGGGCCCACAAATGTTGAAAGGAGACAAGGACCTCCCCCAGAGCTGACAGAGAGGGAAAGCCTTCCCCTAGAGCTGGCACACTGAATTTGGACTTCTAGCCTCCTAAACTGTGAGAGAATAAATTTCTGTTTCTTAAAGCCATTCGCTTGTGGTATTTCTGTTATAGCAGCATTAGATAACTAAGACACCCCATTTTACTGGCAGGAAAATTGAAGGCAGAGAGATGAGATAAAAAAGTGTGCCCTAGGCATAGAGCTCCAACCCATCTGTCAGTTTGTGGTACTGTGGTGGTTTTTGTGTTGCTGTGATGCTGGAAGCTATGCCACTGGTATTTCAAATACCAGCAGGGCCATCCATGGTGGACAGGTTTCAGCAGAGCTTCCAAACTAAGACAGACTAGAAAGGCCTGGCTATCTACTTCCAAAAATCAGCCAATGAAAACCTTATAGATCACAATAGAACATCATCCAACTCACTTGCTTTGCACATTGTGATTGTTAAGTTTGTGTACCAACTTGGCTGGGCCACGATTCTCAGTGGTTTGGCAGTTATGATGTAGTTTAGTAGTCATATAATGATGTAATCACCTCCATGATGAGATCGGATATAATGTGATCACCTCCATGATGGGATCTGTTGTGAGTAGCCAATCAGTTGAAAGGCTGTTTCCTTGGGGGTGTAGCCTGCATCCAATATAGGTGGACTTTCTGGCAAGGCTCATGGGTTTTTGCTCTACTCTGGACCCTGCATTCAGCTTGTCAACATTTGACCTCTAGTTCTTGGGACTTGGGCCAGCAGCCTGCAGTCTTACCTGCCAATCTTGGATTCAGCAGCCTTCGCAGCCGTGGGCCAGTAATCATCATCTAACCTGTGGATCTTGGGTTCGCCAGTCCCTGCAGCTATGTGAGTCGGGAGACGCTTGCAGCCTGACCTAGGGACTTAGGACTTTCCAGCCTCTACAACTGCTTGAGCCATTTCTTTGATATAAATCTCTCTATATATTTATACACTTCACTGGTTTTGCTTCTCTAGAGAATCCAGCCTAAGACAGACATATTATTAGGAGGGACCAATCACTGGAGAAGTATATCATGTTTGGTGAAGTAGAGGGTCAGTGAGGATGAGGGAGACCCTTGGTGAGGTGGACTGGCACAGTCGCCACAAAGATGGACTCAAACATGCTGGTGACCTAAAGATGACACACAAGATGGGGCAACATTTCGTTCTGTTGTACATAAGGTCACCACGAGTTGGAGTTAACACAATGGCAGCTGTCTATCTTTTTCTAAGCATAGAGCTAGTAAGTGGTGTGCTGGCTCAAACCCAGGCCTGGCTGACTCCTTCTAGCCATCAGGTGGGGACAACAATCAGGGCTCACATCCCAACTTGGATTGATTGGTGATGTCTGCCCAGGGAGCTGTGTTGAGAAGGATGCTGAGGTTGGGATACAATGCAGGCATGGATTAGGGATGTCTGCTCTGGGCACTTGAGGAAGACAGCCCACAGTTCTCCAGGACTGTGCCCAAGCCTGGTACTGCTGGAATAAGGATAGTGGCAGCAATAATCACTGTGGCTCATGCCATGCCAGGAGCAATGGTCCATGCCAGGGGCAATGGTCCATGCCAGGGGCTGCTATAAGCATTTCATGGACATTTTCTTCTAGTGAATGAATGATGGATTGTAAAGTGAATGAATGAAGGCATGCTAATTTTCTGTCTGCTTTCAGGAGATCCTGCACAGGAAGAGCCTGACCCCCTCCTGGAAATGCCCGCGAGTTTCCCCCTCTTCCTGCAGCACCCCTTTCGCCAGCATCTTTGTTTCTTCACAACCACCAGGCAGGCGCAGCGTGCCTGGAAACTGGCCCTCCAGGGTGGCATCCGGCTTCGGGGCACTGGTGGGTCCTGGGAAGGCCAGGCAGTGGTGCGGCTCAGGCTCTGGGATCGCACGTGCCCCTGCTGGCTGTGGGAACTTCTCCAAACCTCGGCTTCCTTATCTGTCAAATCGGTCGTTAGGGACAGCAGAAGGGGCACTAGGCAGTTAGTTAAGAGTGACCAGGACTGTAATGGGGACAGTGCTGTGGAAGCCCAGCCTAGTGGTCAGGGAGGGTTTCTCCGGGGTTGAAGCTGGGGCCTGAAAAAGATGAGGGGCCAGCCAGGTGAAGAACGGAAACAGGATCTACATTGCATAAACATGCCCAATTGGAGAGGCAGCTGGGGCTCCACTCTTTCTAGGCCCCACGCCACCAGGCCACTCCTCGGAAGGCCCTGCCCACCCCAGGCCCCGCCCCTTTCTCCTGCCCCACCTGCAGCTGCCCACAGGGGGCGCCTTTTCCTACCTGGTAAAAAGGCGTCTTAAGAGCCGGTGGTGGTCCTGGGGGCATGTGTCCCAGCAGAAGACTGTACAAGTCCCGGAGGTGGGCGAGACTCGAGTGTTCAGGGACCTGGTGGGGAGAAGAGGGAGGCGGGGCGGAGGTAGGCGTCCCCTCCGGGTACTAGGGAGCCCCTCAGTCCTGCAGCGCAGCTCGGCCCCCGCTGCCCGGGCCTTCCTGGACGCCGTGCGGCTGTACCGGCAGCACCAAGGCCACTTTGGCGACGACGACGTGAACCTGGGCTCGGACGCCGAGGTAAGTACCACCTTGCGCGCCTGCACCCGGGACACCCAGGCTTCACCTGGCCCGCCAGGCCCCAGCGACCCTCTCTTCCGCAGGTGCTGACCGCGGTGCTGATGCAGGAGCTGCTGCCCGCGTTGTGCTCCCAGACCCCGCCCGGCCTGAGGGGGGTCGGCCGCTCCCGCGCCCGCGCCCGCGCCTGGGCCTGGACCGAGGTAAGGCGGGGTGGGGGACGCGTGGGGAGGGGTTGCTGGTGGGGGAGAGGCAGGCGGGGCTGCCCAGGATCTCCTATCCGCGACTGTCCCCACTTAACTTGCGCCCTGTCTCTCCATCTCCCTGTCTCTGTCTCTCTGTCCCCTCTCTTCGGCTGTCTCCCGCACCCCTGGCCCGTGTGGGTCCTCGCATCCGGTGCCGCAGCTTCTGGACGCAGTTCACGCCGCCGTCCTAGCTGGGGTCTCCGCAGAGCTCCGCGCCTTCCAGCCCGAAAAGGAGGAGCTGCTGGCCACCCTGGAGAGGACGATCCGTCCCGATGTGGACCAGACGCTCCGGCTGCGGGCGCGGGTGGCGAGGAGGCTGCGGGGTGAGGCTGGGGGAGGCCGGGAGGGCGGGGCGGGGTAAGAGGACGAAAGAGGAGGGACCTGGACTGGGGGCGGGGCCAGAAAAAGGATGGGTCTGGGAAGCGGCGGGAGGGTGAGGCAGGGCAGAGGCGGGGCCGAGAAAGAAAGGGAAAGGGGCGAATCTGCGGGAAAAGGAGGGACAGAATCTTGCGAGAACCTGAGGCGAAGAAAGGGAATACAGTTTGGGGGAAGGGATGGGGGAGCGAAAGAAGAGACAGGGCGGGGCAGGAGGGTGAGGCTTGAATGGGGGGAGCTGAGAAACAGGCAACGAGGCTAGGGGCGGAGTCAGAGCTGGGGGCGGGGCTGTGGGAAGGTGGCGGGCTGGAGCGGGGTGTGAGGCCGGGCGGGTGAGGGGCTGAGGGAGGGAGCGCAGGTAGGGGTGGGGCCTGCCCTGGGCTGTCCGGTCAAGACAGTGGACGTACCCCCTTGGTTGAATCCTGGCTCTGTGCCCCGGAGCTGTGAGCCTTTGGGCCGGTCCTCAGTCTCCTCATCTGTAAAACGAGACGGAGACGGGTGCTCAGAGTCTGCGTTCCCGTCCACATTGGCCTGCTGAGCCCAGGCGGCCCCGCCCCGCCATTTGCGGGGCACCTCACGGAGGGGACCCCAGGCCAGTGTATTCTGCCCCCAGCCGAAGTCCAGGGCCCCCTAGAGTCGTGCCTGCGCCAAGAGGTGGATGCACAGCTGGCCCGGGTCACGCAGACGCTGCTGAGCACCATGGGGGCCGCTCTGGCGGCGGTTCGGACCCTCCTCGCACAGGGCATGGACCGCCTGTTTCGCCACCTGCGTGGGAGCCCCTCCGGCGCGCGGTTGCGCAGGGAGGTGAGGTCCAGCGAGCGGGGGCAGTGTGTTACCTTGACAGAAAAGTTGCAGGAGTTTTACATTTTTTTCTGTTTAAAAACCTCTGAAATTTGTTTTAGGCTGCTTTTTACTTTCAGAGGACCTTGGTGCATTCCCCTTGTTCATATTTATTATGGTCATTGGGCACCGTTTAAACGCAGTGGGGCGGGGAAGGAGAGGCATTTTAGCAAAAGCACTCTGGGATCATCTTTCCCTCAAACTCCTCCTCCTCCCAGTCCCCAGGTTCAGCTATGGGGCTACACCCAAAGCCGTGAAATTCTGCCCAGTGCAAGTAAACTCAGTTCATCTGATATTCAACGGGCCTCTTCTATGTGCCAGGCACCACCACGCATCTAGCAGTTTGTGGTACTGTGGTGGCTTGCCTGTTGCTATGATGTTGGAAGCTATGCCACTGGTATTTCAAATACTAGCAGGGTCACCTGTGGTGGATAGGTTTCAGCAGAGCTTCCAGACTAAGAAAGACTAGGAACAAGGACCCGGCCGTCTACTTCTGAAAAAATTGGCCAGTGAAAACCTTATGCATAACAGCAGAACATTGTCTGATATAGTGCCAGAAGATGAGCCCCTCACGTTGGAAGGCACTCAAAATACGACTGGGGAAGAGCTGCCTCCTCAAAATAGAGTACATGTTGTCAGGAGAAACCAGTCCCTGGAGAAGAACCTCATGCTTGGTAAAGTAGAGGGTCAGTGAAAAAAAGGAAGACCCTGAAGTAGATGGACTGACACAGTGGCTGCACCAATGGGCTCAAACATAGCAACGATCGTGAGGTTGACGCAAGACCCAGCAGTGTTTCGTTCTGTCGTACACAGTGTCTCTGTGAGTCGGAACTGACTCCATGGCACCCGACAACAATAACAACAATGTGCCAGGCAACCTTCAATTCATTATTAGACCTCCATTTGATAATCACCTTCTCTAGGAGCTTTCCTTGAATCACTCTGCTACCCCAGCTGCCAGAGCTTCCCACATCACAGCAGTGTTCACGTCCTTCTGTGGTTGTCTGTCTGCAGTCTGTCTCCTCCAACATGACCCTGAGCTCCTTGTGGGCAAAACCTGGATCCGATTACTACATTTCTGTAGCCCCAGGGCCCAGCACAGAGCGGGTATCAGGCCATCGGTATAGGTCCCAGAGGGACTCAGTGTGTCTATTTTCCCGCAGTGGAACCAGCACTGCATCTTATCATTTTTTATTTTTATTTTTTCTCTTTTTACTGTGGTGAAAACATACACACCAACACATCTGCCAGCACAACAACTTCCACATTTACAACTCAGTGACATTGATTACACGTTTCATATTGTGCTACCATTATCACTATCCTCATCTAAAACATTCCACCACCATTAACATAAACTCAGGGCCCGCCAAACAAAAACTCCCCTTTTCGCCCTCCCTCCCATCTCTGGTAACCATGAAGAATCTTTACTTTCTGTATATTTGCTTATTTCCTATAAGTGAGATCATACAGTGTGTGTCCTTTTGCAACTTACTTTGCTCAGCATATTTTCAAGGTTCATTCAGGTTGTAGCCTGCACCAGAACTTCATTCTCTTTATGGCTGAGTAATATTCCATCGTCCGTACAGACCACACTGTGTTTATCTATTCATGTGCTGATGGACATGTGGTTGTTTTCACCTTTTGGCTGTTGTGAAAAATGCTGCAGTGAACACTGCTGGACAGGTATCTGTTTGTGTTCCAGTGTTTGCCTTTTTATAGCCATCTAATGGCCCCAGGAGCTCTGGTGGCACAGTGGTTAAAGTGCTTGTCTGCTAACCAAAAGGTTGACAGTTAGAACCCACCAGTTGCTCCACAGGAGAAATATGTGACAGTCTGCTCCTGTAAAGATTACAACCTTGGAAACCCCATGTGGCAATTCTACTCTGTCCTATAGGGTCACTGGGAGTCGGACTGGCAGTGGGTTTGGTTCAGTTTTTAGAATGGCCCCTGATGGCGCACTCGACTGCTAAGCAAAAGGTTGGCAGTTTAAACCCACCCAGCAGCTCCACAGGAGAAAGGCCTGGTGATCTGCTTCTGTAAAGATTATAGTCATGAAAACCCTATGGGGCAGTTCTACTGTCACATGGGGTCTCTATGAGTCAAAAATCCACTTGATGGCACCTAACAACGACAGCAACAATGGCCCCTTGCACTTACTTGATTTTGCATTCTTTGGTGATGACCTGGGCGTGCCGTGTGTTCGTTTAGGTTTCTACTTCAGTGAATTGGCGGTGGGGTCCTTGGCCCCACTCTTCCATCTGCTGACAGTGTTTTTCTCATCGGCTTTCTCTGGCACACAGGTCTACTCGTTCGGGGAGATGCCGTGGGACCCAGAACTGATGCAGACGTGCTACCGCGAGGCCCGGAGGAAGCAGGAACGCCTGCAGAAGCTGGCTACACCCTTTGGTTTCCTCGGGACTCGGAGCCTGGTGTTTAGGGTCCAAGATCTCACTCAGCAGGTGTGGATGGGTGGGAGCGAGTGCCAGGTGTGTGCTGGGGACATCAGGACACCAAGATGACCAAGAGAGACCTGGCCCTCCCTCCAGCCCCTAGGATCATGAGCTCGTGACCAGGCAGTGACCACGCTGAGTGGGCAGGGCTGTGGTGGGGGATACACAAACAGGATGTGCCCCAAGGAGACACCTAGTCCATCTCCAGGGACAGACGAGCTTCCTGAGGAGGGGCCTTTCACACTGGAACGGCGATGGGAGGAATGGGGGTGGGGCAGGTTCTGGGGAAAGGGAACATCAGGGATTAAGTGCTGGGAGGTGAGAGAGCTTGACTGCATTTGGAAATAATTTAGAGAGGTTGGATTGCAGGTTTTGGTCCCCAGGTGGCGCAAATGGTTTGAGCCGGGCTACTAATCTAAAGGTTGGTGGTTTGAACCCACCTAGTGGTGCTTCAAAAGAAAGTCCTGACGATTTGCTTCTGTAAAGGTTACAGCCAAGAAAACCCTATGGGGCTCAGTTCTACTCTGTAACACATGGGGTTGCCATGAGTCGGAATGAATTCCATGGCAATGGGTTTGGTTTTTTTTGTTTTTTTTGGAGTAGTGGGGGATGGGCTGGTGAGCTGAGCAGGGCAGATCCCACAGGGCCTTAAGCACTGGGCTAAGGAGCCAGCTCTGTCCTGTGGCAATAGGGAGCCACAGCAGATGTGTGAGCAGGGGAGGCTCTATGACCTGATTCATGGCTTAGGAACCTCCACCTGTCATGAGGAGCAGGGGCTGTTGGGGGCAGGAGTGGAAGTGGCAGAAAGGCTAGGGCAGCATCTAGAAGGGAGATGGCAGGGACTGAACCAGGTGGGGTTGCTGGTAGGGAACAAGTAGGGTGTGTTTTGGAGGCCAAGGGGAGGGACATTTTGATGGATGAGGTAGGTGAGGGAGACGGGGATCTAGGAATGTCCAGGGCTGCCCGGCACAGTTGTTCAGTTTGCACACTGCACAATGACGTGGTCTGAGGCGGCTGGACTCCAGCCAGCTCTACACTCACCGGGCCAGGCACCCTGATCCTGAATCCCTTAGAGGGAGAGTGCTTTCCACCAGTGTGCACAGATGCCCCCCGGCTGGACTGAATGCCCCCCCAATGCCAGAGCATGGATTCTGGGGTCACCCAGCCCCTCCTCCCACAGCTCATGGCGGATGCTGCAACCACCTTCCTGCAGCTGGCCGACCAGTGTCTGACGGCAGCCCTGGACTGCCAGCAGGCTGCCAAGCAGCTGGAGAAAGTCAGGGGGCGCGTGCTGAAGGTAAGGCCCACAGGGCACACTGGTGGGGCCTGGGGGGTCCAACGGTGGCTGAAGGGCTGCTCTGGTGTATCCTGCAGAAGTTCGAGTCGGACTGTGGCTCTGCGAAGAGGCAGTTTGTCCGTGAGTGGCTGGTACGCATCTTCCTGCCCTTTGTGTTGGGCCAGCTGGAGCCGGGCCGCAAACTGGTGAGCTAAGGACCGCTGCGCAGGCAGTTGCTCAAGCATGACCGAGCTCAGGGGCCCTGTCTTAGTCATCTAGAGCTGCTGTAATAGAATTACCACGTGTGGTTGCTTTTAAAAAACACAAATTTATTTTCTTAGTTTGTTGTTGTTGCTTATTGTTGTCAAGTCGGCCTCTGACTCATGGTGACCCCCACGCACAACGGGATTGGACCGATGTAATCTGTAGGGTTTTCCCTGGCTAATTTTTTGGAAGTAGATCACCAGCCCTTTCTTCCTAGTCTGTCTTAAGCTGGAAGCACCAGCAACACTCACCATAGCAACACGCAAGCCTCCACTGGCAGACGGGTCTCCCACATGGAAGGCAGGAGTTCTACCGCTGAACGACCACTGCCCCCTTCTCAGAGTTCAGGAGACCAGACGTCCGAATCCGGGGTGCTGGCTTTAGGGGAAGGCTCTCTCCCTGTCCACTGTCAGGGGAAATCCTTGTCTCAGCTTCTTTAGCATTCTTCTCGGAGTTCCCTGGAGATCCCCACGTGGCATCTATCTTCCCCCATTTGAACTTGCTTGTCTCTGTGCCTAATCTGTTCCTTTTGCATCTCAAAGTTGTTGTTGTCAGGTGCCATCAGGTCGGTTCCGACTCATAGTGACCCCGTGTACAGCAGAGCCAAACGCTGCCCAGTCCCTCACCGTCCTCGCAATCGTTGCTATGTTTGAGCCCATTGTTGCAGCCACTGTGTCGATCCATCTCGTTGAGGGTCTTCCTCTTTCTTCGCTGACCCTCTACTTTACCAAGTATGATGTCCTTCTCCAGGGACTGGTCTCTCCTGATAACATGTCCAAAGTATGTGAGATGTAGTCTTGCCATATTTGCTTCTAAGGAGCATTCTGGCTGTGTAGCTCAAATGGGATTAGGTTTAAAACACACCCTACACCGATATGGTCCCATTCACATAACAAAGAAAACTCTCTTTCCAAGTGGGATTATTACATCCACAAGTATGGTGCTGTTAGTTGTCATAGAGTCAATTCCTACCCATGGCGACCCCTGTGTGTCAGAGTAGAGCTGATCTATAGGTTGTCCAATGGCGGTGACCTTCAGAAGCAGATTGCCAGGCCTGTCTTCTGAGGCACCTCTGAGTGAGTTTGAACCGCCAACCGTTTGGCTAGTAGTCGATCGCGTAATTGTGCCTCCCAGGGACTTCTTATCCACAGGTATCTGAATTAGGATTTACAACACATTATTTTTGGAGGACACAATTCAATCTATAACAGACCATTACAGACTTTTGTTTCCTGAGCTCTTGGGCTGGGTCTGGTGGCTCTTCTGGGCTCCCACAATCCCTCTGCTTCCCCCATGAGTGCACTTGTTACCCTGCATCTGCCGTGTGACACCTGGGGTGAGGTCTTATACATCATGTGTCAGCGGGTGACACAGGCTTTGGAGACAATTGAGGAGGCAGATGGGGATTGTGTGAGTGGCTGGGGGGTGCTGAGTGGTTAGGGAGGGTCTCAATGAGAAGATGACACTTGAGAAGGGACCTGAAGGCATGAGCCACATCTGGGAAGGGGGAAAGGGCGTTCAGGGAGCAGGCACAGTGTGTGCAAAGGCCCTGAGGCGGGGCTGTGCCTGGTGTGTTGGAGGAACAGTGAGGAAGGGGATGTGGCTGGAGCAGAGTGATCGAGGAGCAGGGAGATCACAGGGGCTCGGCCACATGGGGCTCAGGGACGGGGGGAAGTCTGACTTAGGTATTCATAGAACTCTGTAGACACAGAGGAAGTGATGGGGGGGTGTCACAGTGGAGACGATCACCCTAGTCCCAATAAGGGGATTTGCTTTTTCTCGTTATTTTACACCATGGATCAGTCAGGTTACAAGAAACAGAACCAATAGAATGTGTGTGTGTGTGTGCGTGTATATATATATAGTCGTTGTTAGGTGCCGTCAAGCCGGTTCCAACTCATAGCAACTCTATATGACAGAGTAGAACTGCCCCATAGTGTTTCCAAGGAGTGGCTGGTGGATTTGAACTGCCGATGTTTTGGTTAGCAGCTGAGCTCTTAACCACTACGCCACCAGGATACATACGTGTATGCAATACATATACTGTAAGTATATCAGGCGTGGATTACCCAATAAGCAAGATAAGCACGGGCTTACTTGTGCTTACTTACTAATCTGTAGTGAACAATTTCACATGTTTTTCATTGTGAAAATACATGAAATTGTTCACTACAGATTAGTAAGTAAGCACAAGTAAATCCGTGCTTACCTTGCTTACTGGATATTCCGTCCCTGTCAGGGATTACAAATTTGAAAAGAGGCTTTGATTTTATCGGAAAGTGCTGTAAGGTTGGGAGAGAAACAGATGACAGCCATACCTAGCAGAAATTTTAATATGGTGAAAAACTGAAATTGTTCACTACGGATGATCTAGTAAGCAAGGTAAGCAGCATGATTACCTTAACCTATTAGATAATCCATCCCTGATGTATATATATGTATATTGTTGTGTTGTTGTTAGGTGCTGTCGAGTCGGTTCCAACTCATAGTGACCCTGTGTACAACAGAACGAAACACTTCCTGCTCCTGCATCATCCTCACAATCATTATCCTTGAGCCCATCGTTGTAGCCACTGTGTCAGTTCATCTCGCTGAGGGTCTTCCTCTCTTTCCCTGCCCCTCTACTTTACCAAGCATGATGTCCTTCTGCAGGGACTGGTCCCTTCTGATAACATGTCCAAAGTATGTGAGACAAAGGTCGCCATCCTTGCCTCCAAGGAGCATCTGGCTATACTTCTTCCAAGACAGATTTGTTGGTTCTTTTGACAGTCCATGGTATATTCAATATTCTTCCCCAACACCATAATTCAAAGGCATCAATTCTTCTTCAGTCTTGCGTATTCATTGTCCAGCTTTAGCATGCATATGAGGAGATTGAAAACACCACAGCTTTAGTCAGGCACACCTTAGTCCTCAAAGTGCTATATTTGCTTTTTAACACTTGAAAGAGGTCTTTTGCAGCAGATTTGCCCAAGGCAATGCGTCGTTTGATTTCTTGACTGCTGCTTCCATGGGTGTTGATTGTGGATCCAATAAAATGAAATCCTTGACAACTTCAATCTTTTCTCCGTTTATCATGATGTTGCTTATTGGTCTAGTTGTGAAGATTTTTGTTTTCTTGATGTTGAAGTGTAATCCCTAGTGAAGGCTGTAGTCCTTGATCTTCGTCAGTAGGTGCTTCAAGTTCTCTTCGCTTTCAGCAAGCAAAGTTGTGTCATCTGCCATCGCAGGTTGCTATGAGTCTTCCTCCAATCCTGGTGCCCTGTTCTTCTTCATACAGTCCAGCTTCTCAGATTATTTGCTCAGCACACGGATTGAATAAGTGTGGTGAAAGGATACAACCTGGAGCACACCTTTCCTCACTTTAAACCACGCAGTACCCCCTTGTTCTGTCTGAATGACTCCCTCTTGGTCTATGTACAGGTTCCTCATGAGCACAATTAAGTGTTCTGGAATTCCCATTCTTTGCAAAATGTTATCCATAATGTATATATATATATGTGTAATGTGGAGTCTCTTGGTGATGCAAGGGGTTTCTGTCCTCAGCTGCTAACGGAAAAGTTGAGGTTCACGTCCACCCAGAGGTGCCTAGGAAGGAAGGCCTGGAGATCTACTTCTGAAAAATCAGCCATTGAAAACCCTATGGAGCATAATTCTAGGTCACCATGAGTTGGAGTTGACTCAATATCAACTGTTTTTTT